TGGAAGGGGTCCACCTCGCCCTCAACGGCCCAGGGGTCGACCCCCGGCTGTTAGATCGGAGCCATCTCGAATAGGGGAGGTCACAACACAACATTGGCCGACTTCCTCTACTTCGAAGTTGAGATGTCGTGAGTGTTCTTCGCGTGGGATACGAAGAAGCGTCCGGACAAAGTGCGTGAAGTGTGACATCGGACTGTGCATTTCCGGATGTTTCCAAGAATACCACACGAAGGCAACATTCCGATAGATGAGGCAGGTGGGAAGACAGACGCTTCATGCAGATGGTGGCCACAAATTAGGTAAGTAGAACTTCAATTTATACGTTAAAATAAGATTTTGTATAACGTTCGCACGCGCGGACTGTGCGACCAGGACTCGAACCCCTGCCATTTTATCGGAGATATCTCGATTAGAGAAGGCCAAACCACATCACTGGCCGACATCCTCTACTTCGCAATTGAGGTGTCGTGTGTGCTTTTCGCGTGGGAAACGAAAGACCGTCCAGACAAAGTGCGTGAAGTGCGAAATCGGACTCTGCATTTCCGGATTTTTTTTTAGAATTCCACACTAAGGCAACATTCCGGCAGATGACGCAGGTGGGAAGACAGACACTCCATGCAGATGGTGGCCAAAAATTATATAAGTAGGACATTATTTTCTACCTTAAAAATGTATTTCAAATAACGTCCGCACGCGCGGATTGTGCGACCCCATATGGCGTCATTCGTACCGCTGACTCTAAGTTTAAAGGATATGGTATTGGGGATATATAAAGGTTAAGGAGGTTACCGAAAGATTTTGCGGGTCGTCATAAATGTATATAATCTGTGATATTGTGTAAATCATCTGTGGCGGTTTCTCTGTGGCTCTGTGGTAAGTGGTGGCGCTAGAGTTGACTTGGCGGTTTTAGTTTTTCTGCGTTAAGGACTTTATTAGAGAAGTGGCTATAACAAAAAAGTCGTTTGGAACTATGTCAAAGTCCAAAGGACCTAATCTACCTTGGTATGTTATATATTCATAAGGTGTGTTATATAGTGGTAAGTTCCTTTAAAAATACCGAGGTGTTAGGTTATGTCTAATGTGTTTCTTCTGTGCATGCGGTTTCAGGGTTGAAAAATACCGGCCAACGAAGCTAGATGATCTAATTTCTCATGAAGATATAATTGCAACAAGTACGTATTACTAATTCTTTCTTGTATTCATTGACTTTTCACACAGTTTAGGTCGACTCGCAGGATTCCTGAAACGCGATTTAATTTCAGATTGGTAGTAGTTGTGGTCTTCACGCGTTGAGAACATACAATCCTAATCGCATTGATTTGCAGTGAATTTATTTGTTACGATTTCTGTCAGTAGCTCAGGTTATATAGCTGATTTGACTGAACTATGATCCACACATCGCTTGCGGCTCTTTTGAACCGTTAGTGTGCCCCTCGGAAAATGTATTAATTCCATATATTAGGAAATATGTCCCATGGATAGCATGTACTGAAATCCCTCCGCCATCTGATCCACATCCGTTCGCAGCTCAAAAAGTTTGGAAAATTGGTTTGTGCAGCTCCAGTTATCACTAAATGTTGTCACCGCTGCTGTATAGCGTCCAGTGGTAGGCTGGTTGCTGAATGATGATTTAGAAAGGATATGGAGGGAAGTGGTCATGACCACCCTTAAAGTACTAACCTAGAATTTGCCTGGAAGGACTGAGGAAAACCACAAAAGACTTCAGTCATGTTAGTGCTTTGTGTAAGATTTAAACTGGTCACCTCCTGAATACAAGTCAGAAACAGTGCTTCAGCCATCTAACATTGTGAATCACAGTGAAAAGTGAGATCTGGGAAGTTGTTGTGTTCACTTGAGAACTGGGTCATATTGTTTTTCCTGCTGGAGTACATAGTTGAGCTGTTGACACCATGTGCTTAACACACTGTTGTTGGATACCAACATGCTCATTTTTTAAATGGGTAGGGTCCCAGTTACATAGGACCATCATATATAGAGTGCAAAGGCAGCAATAAAATCAGTAGTGATAATGAAAAATTAATATGCTGAAGAAAAAGAAGGTATAAGTTTTATTTACATATTTTATACTTTGAGTAAAAGGTAAAGTTATCTCGTTAAGCACTATGCCTTGAATATGTGCTGGGAAATGGAGATATAGGTCCACCATTCTTAACCTTTCCATTAGATAGAAGATTCAATTCAATTTTATTTCACCATCCCATACATGATATGGGACAAGTCAAAGATTAATATTAATACTAAATAATAATAAGTATATAATAATACAGAAATAATATGACAATATAATAATAATAAGTGATGATAATAATAATTCAATTCAATTCTTTATTATTAATGTGCCGAGTCAACAGCCGCAAGGCCAATTACAGACTCAGCACAGTGTAGATGACTGAATTACATTACATACAAACTTATTAAAAGTCAAATACAAATTACAGTTAA